ATAGACTACCTTGTTGGCAGCTTTCAAATATCTATCAATTCTTTGTCATAAACAGTCATTCCGTATCCATTAATGTTTTATATTTCTGTAATAGTCCAAGGAAGCAGTACAGGTATACGTATATAAAGATCAGTTTTTGTTGTTATAATTGTTTGTTAGATAAAGCCATTGGTCTTGTTAATAACCCAATAAACACAACGGTTCAATAGAGACACTGCAAGGTTTCTTTTCATATCAATTGATTATTCTTAGTGTTGGTGATAATTAATTTATTCGCGTTTATTCATCTATTTTAAAGAATAAACTGTCTTTTGTTTTTGGGTGTGAAGGGAAAGCTATTGTTTTTATTATTTTACCTTAACAAAAAGAATAATAGAAGTATTTACTGTAGTCCAAGCTTCGTATTTTCACAATCATAATAAATTATAACATATTGTAGTTCATACAGTTTAACAACCCCGTTTAAGTTCATTTTCTTATATTTTAACCACAGTGGCTGAATATAACACGACTCAACATAATACACTGGGTTTAGCCATCGCTCAGCCATTAGACATCATACAAATCAATAAGTCATTTTCTCACCTCAATGGCGAATATAAAATAAGTTATGTTCGCCACAGGAAAGTTTAACTATCGTGGCGAGCGTTAGTTGGATTAGTCAGACCACTTTACTGTACGTGTTCACAGTCTATTTTCTTATATATAGTCACTAGAATCTTTTAATAGAAGCATGGGATCACGTGAAGATTAGCCTCCCTTAACCTATTCCTAACGCTAACCTAACCTAATGCTAACCTAACCTAACTAAACGCTAACCTAACTTAACCTAATGCTAACCTAACCTAACGCTAACCTAACCTAACTCCCCGGGTAATTTTAAGGTGGTTAATTATCAGGTGAAATAATCTGAAGGGGAGGTTAATCTTCAGGTGGTTCCTCCAGTGTGTGAACTTGTACTTTTGTGTGTGTGTGTGTGTGTGGCGCGACTAACAGTGTGTTCCGGCATGTTAATATGTGGGGTGAGACGTGTTTAACTGCGTGGACCAACAGAGGGTAATGCAGGGTGAGGTGTTGATGTAAAGCAGCACGCAACACACACACACACACACACACACACACACACACACACACAGCCATGATAACATACACAAACATTCACTTTCACCGGCAAATAATTACTCACTTGCTCAAACACTGATAATCTCACCTGAACACCGCCACGGTATGTATGTATGTATGTATGTATGTATGTATGTATGTATGTATGTATGTATGTATGTATGTGTGTGTGTGCGCGCTAATAAACGCTAATACACATGTTGAATTAACGAGAACCCAAGAAAATTCTCACTAAACGTAGAAAATTAAATACAAATCTTATTTATATCTGAGTAATAACAGTAAAAAATAAAATCCCCTTTAATATATCTATATACTATTATACAGGGTGATGGAAAAAGAATATCGACTTTTTATTCTATCTGGGGACATCCTTTTAGCTGACCCTGTATCATTATAACCTTATGTGTCGTTCGTATATAATTACAGGGCTTAAATTTGTTCCTCTTGTCTTTCTTCTACATTTATTTCATCATCTTATTATTCTCTTTTCTTTTTCACCTTATTTTATGTTTTCCTCCTCCTCCTCCATGTCTTCCTTTCCTCCTCCTCCTCTATGTCTTCTAACCTTTGACTCATTCTCTTTTTCTTTCTCCTCCTGTTCTTCCTGGTCTATTTTCTACCCCATCTCCTCGTTATTTCCTTCTCTTGCTCCCCCATATTTACCCCAACAAACACTTTATTCCTCACTTTCTATCTCCCTCCCTCTTTTTGCCTCCTCCTTCTTCTCTCCCTCCCCTTCCTTCCATCCCTCCCCTCCCCTTCTTTCCCTCCCTCCCCTCCCCTTCCTTCCCTCCCCTTCCTTCCCTCCCCTTCCCTCCCTCCCTCACCGCCTGACGTTTGGATGAGTGATGGAGGTGGGAAGGGGAGGAGGAGGAGGTGACGGGCCGGCCTCTACCTTATTTAATTATTCAAACTTAAGGAACCACAAATTACCAATAATGGCGTAACAACTCCTCACCGCCAACTCCCCTGAAATGTCACTCACTTAATTATAGTCATTACAGCAAGTATGGCCCCACAGTGTAGCCAACTCACATTTGTCTACCTACCTACGTGTTTTCTTATTTATGCGTATTAAGTGTATGATGTTATGTGTATATAAATTATTTCGAGGTCTCTGTTGTGTATTGGCAAATGTATTCGTAGTATTTTGTTTTGGTTTGATAAATGAACGAAAATCTGGTAGTGTTGGGAGAGGGTACGAGGGCGAGTGGGATGTGGTAACACTGGAGACAGCTGGTGGAAGGGTTACGAACATTATCATATGAATAACACTCAAGAATTGTAGCCACTAATGCCTATAATTGAGCCATGCTAAGACCCAGTCATTGGATGGAACCCTTAACTGGTTATTTAGCAGCACCCGAGCCCCTAACTGCCTAGTCATCACGAGGTAGGCACCACTGCACAGGCGCACAAAACCCGACGGGAAACAGTTCGTCAGGGTCAGCAGCTCGGCATTACTGTTCACTGCGGAATTGTTACATACAGTATTTATTTATTAACCTAATTTTATAAGTTAATTTCTTTATTATATATTTACGTATTTATAAAGTTTGGTTTAGGATAAGTTGTTCTAACAGTGCGCATGTGTAGACTTTCTCTCTTCAATTATTATTTTCATTTTAGTTTTACAGTGAATACAACTGGTAAGAGAGGTGCAAGACGCAACCTTCCACAGCGTTAAATTGATGAATCTCTTTACGACTGAACTAAATTACACTACAGCCAATTAATTAATCTAATAACCTCATACGTGCAACACATCGCTGACTAACGACTGACCAAATATGTGACAGTCATATTTCCCACACGTGACTTACACACCTGCAGAAACAAATGAAGCGTGTGACATTTATTCCATACACCTGACTACGACATGACTTAGTCCAAACACTCATGACCCACACGTGACAGAACCATAATGAACATGTGACAAAAATATGATGAATACCTGACATAACACGTGACAAATAACAACATTGGTGACATAACCCCAATAGGAACATGACACATATGTAACACGAGACATATATGTGACAACCGTGACATACATGTGGCAGATTATTGTACGATACTCATTACCTGTTGAATACGAGACACAACACGAGCCTGACAAACACATGACATCAGCGTCACACACCTGTACCTAAGTAAAACACCTGACTTGGTTACCATCTGAAGCATTTGTATAAGTGTTGAAGCAAGTGTATGTTTGTGTGCATGTGTGTATTTATGTGTGTGTGTGTGTGTATGAATAGGCTTTGTATGTGTATGTGTGTGTCACAAGTTACATATTTGTAGTGTGGGCGGCGGGCGGGTTGGCTGTACACACACCCATCCGGTAGAGACAGATGTGGGGGGTGCAAGGGAGATGGGGCGACTAAGCGCAAACATCAGTCGATAAACACAACCATTCCTGCCCCGCCGCCCACCATCCCTGCCGCCGCCCACCATCAGCCCGTCGTCAACCATCCCTACCCCCACCACCACCATCCCTTATTCCGCCACCCACCATCAGCCCCGCCACCCACCGTCCTCCCCGCCGCCCACCATCCCTGCCCGCCGCCCACCATCCCTACACCGCTGCCCACCATCCCAGCCCGTCGTCAACCATCCCTACCCCACCACCCCATCCTTATTCCGCCACCCACCATCAGCCCCGCCACCCACCATCCCAGCCCCGCCACCCACCGTCCCCTGCCCGCCCACCATCCCCTGCCCCGCCACCACCATCCCTACACCTCTGCCCCACCATCCCAGCCCGTCGTCAACCATCCCTACCCCACCACCCACCATCCCTTATTCCGCCGCCCACCATCCCAGCCCCGCCACCCACCATCCCTGCCCCGCCCACCAGTCACAGTAGTGTTGTCACATTGTTGTCACCATAACATGTTAGTGCAGGTGACTGACTGCCGTGAGGTTGTCAGCGTCCACTACAAACTGACACGTCCACGGTCACACCAACACCTACAGTATATTCCTCCCTCCCTCCCAGCTCTCCCTCCCCCTGACCGACCGACCGACCGACCGACAGACGGATCAACCGACAGACTGACCAACAAACCAACCGACCGACCAACCAAGCAACCAACCAACCGACAGACCGACAAACCAACCGACCAACCGACAGACCGACCGACCAACAGACCGACCGACCAACTGAGACAGACCGACCGACCAACCGACCAACCAACCGACAGACTCAGATCTCAATTAAGAGATATATCAGACAAATGTTATTAGGCTTAACACTCTCAGCCCCTCGATACTTATATCCCTGAGACTAATGGACGGCTCGACCCCTCTACCACGACTTGGCGGGGGATCCTGGGTCCTTGTGGAGGCGTTTAGGTGTGGCTGAAGGGCGTCTAGATACCTTAGGTGGGTTTTAGTAGGCGGGACGGGGGTGTGGGGTGGGCGTGATGGGTGTGGGGTGGGCGTGGTGGGTGTGTGGTAGACGCCGTGGTGGTGGTCTAGGGGTTCCTCTCGTCCAACATCTGGTTCACACTGGCGATAATAAGAGATTCGTCATGGTTGTACGAGTCGTTTCTCTGGTCGTGGACGTCTACCTGTTGTTGTTGTCGTCTACCTGGTGTTGTCGTCTACCTGGTGTTGTCGTCTACCTGGTGTTGTCGTCTACCTGGTGTTGTCGTCTACCTGGTGTTGTTATTTTTACCTGGTGTTGCTGTTTTCGGCCAGCAGGGGACAGCACGAGAATCATAGAGACGTGAAACTTTTCCGGAAAACGTTTTAGTTTATTAAAGATTCAAAACGCCTTTGTTTAATGTATTTCTCTTATGTATGTTAAGTCTTAAGTGTATTTGGCTTTGATTTATACAACTGTATTAATATATATCTGTGTTCCTCAGACGCGGCTATGAGGGCGTGCATGTTCGTGTACCGCCGGGCTACCCCAAGAAATACCAGAAGCTACCCACCTCATACCAGGGAGGGTATGTCTCCCGTTACCCAGGTTACCCCACTACCTGGAGAGAACCAGCGCCTCAATACCCGCAGCAGCACGTCGGGTACCTTGGTAATGACAACGGGTATACTGGTGGGCACTCCAGAGCCACGGATAGTTACTCTCAAGACACCCAGAACGGCTACAGAATCAACGGCCTCGGGGGTGTTCGTTTATCCGGAAATAATATCGGTTATCCAATGGACACTGTGCCGCAAATCAGATATCAGCAGAATCCGGTGGTCGGGTATCCGAACTACGGGTACCCGGTGATAGGGTCGTCGCCCAATGACGTGATCAACCGGACCTTCGTACCGCCGTGGGACGCCAGCGTGTGGGACCAACCCCTCGACCCTGACGTGTGTCGCACCCTGGCCGGCCTCAGTCGACCACAGCTGCACATCTGTACACGGTGAGTCACTAACACACCTGTACACGGTGAGTCACTAACACACTTGTACATGGCGAATTACTAACACACCTGCACACGGTAAGTACTAACACACCTGTACACGGTGAGTCACCAACACACCTGTACATGGCGACATACTAACACACCTGTACACGGTGAGTCACTAACACACCTGGATAGCACGCTAAAGTAGGTTAAGCAGTCTCAGTTATTTTTATATCTCCAGTATAAGTGAACTGCTTTATAATTATAATGTGCAAGAATAAGTAATACAAGTGACCCTGCTGCCACGGGTGTCTTTACTATACTCAAGGTGATGTCTAAGACTGCATCATCGTCTGTTACCATTATCGTTATTTGATAGACTTAAGTCATCAAGGTAAAGAAATAGTTAACGAACTTTACCTGTGCTTCAATTACTCTCCAATACCCCTTAAATTAGTCCCCCCTTCGGGCCAGAGTCGCCATTTATCAAGTTTCATCAAGGATAACCCTTGGGCCCCAGGGTATATATAATGAAAACCTAAATTCATCTTTACAATACAAATGACTGTAATTATAGGTTCAGCATTTCACCGCGTGTTGGCGCTGTCTTACAGGTGCACGGTATCTACATCGGGTTTAAATCATGTAACTTAATAGTTACTTGAAAGTATGACTCGTGCCGTGTTATTGTTTACTTGTCATGACCCACGAGTATAGTTCTCAGCGATCAACAAAGTTTCTCTTAATATTATCCATTTACTGTTTAGTCCCTTGAGTAGAAAAGCATGAAGGAACAACTCTGGAACTAGGACTGAGGACAATACCAAGTGGCGTAATTCTCTGCCCAGACCTCTCCTTCTCCTCCTCCCGTGCCCTGTAACCCTCTCCCTAACCCCTTAAGTGCTCGGTACCCCCTCTCACCTGCCCAGTGACATTCCTCCTTGGTCTTCACGTGCCCACTCACTATCCTCCGTACCTCTTACGTGCCCACTGGAGCAAACTGCACGTGTAGAGTCAGACTGTCACAGCACGACCTCTTGTTATAATAGTCAGCGAGGCGAGTGGAGGGTTGGCAGATACAGAGCCGTGTGTCGCTCTCCTGTACTCACTAGACCTTGTTCCTTTCATTCATTCATTCTCCTCTACCTCTTCAACCAGCTCTTGCCATACACTTGCGGGAGGTGAGTCTTTACAGGCGCTCAAGAGATTTAAACCCTTCTTCCCTCCTTAACTAATCCTTTCTTATATATCCAGAGGGACCAGTTTACTCTCGTGTTCACTCCTGATAAACTGACGTAGAGTTAAATTCCTGCCGTCATTCAGAGGATTAAATTCACTCTTCCCTCTTGGTTAATGAGCCTTGAATACACTTACTGCACAAGAAGATAACACTGATATACGATTATTAAAACTTAACCCACGATTGCCATTCGTTAATAATCATCTTGTGCACAACTTACGATAGGTTATATCTTGCCGACCCTTATTAAACGTCTGCCCACATAGGTCCTGGCGAGGTCGGGTTCTGTATGTGCTTGGCAGAGGAAGTTCTTAGTCCTCTTATTTGGACGCTCGCTGCCTGTTTGTTCCTCTTTCACGACCATCCACAACTTGTAAGGTGTAGGCTGGGCGTCTCCATGTCACCTCTTGTTAAGAGATCATCTCACACTTATCCTTAAATAGAAGTTGATGAGAGCGAGCACTTAAGGTTGTAGTTTACCCACTGTGGCCTGTGGTCCCTTAGCATGCTGAACACTCACTCATTAATGAAGTAGTGGAGCCAGGGGCGTGTTGCTCCTTGGGGCGCCCTGACCTCCCTCCCTCCCTCCCCACCCACCGCCTCACCTCCTCCACCCTTCTCCACCTCTCTCAAGAGATACAGTACACTCTTCCCTCCCTCCACTAATCCTGCAGGTGGTTGAGTAATGGTTCCTGTGTTCCTCAGTCCCAAGAGGCGGTCCTTCAGTTATGTTTCCTTGCTTCTGGTGCCCCTTGTGCTTACTTTCATGTTCCATAAACGTTGATTTTATCGATTTTTTTTGGGGGGGTGGGGGGGGGGCAATATCACTGCTATGACCAAGCACATTTTCGCACACGCACACACTTAAACGCACTAACAAACCAAGACGCACACATATGCACATACATACACGTACACAAAAAGACACACACGTACACACACCCAGCTGGGCTCTGAGGAAGGTATCCAGGCAGTACTTGGCATGCTGGAAGGGTACTTAGAATAAGCACTAATTAAGAAGCTGAGGATGCAGGGGGTAGGGAGGGAGAGGGCTGCTGCACGCCATTACTATTGTTGATTATGCAACGGGGAGCGTGCAGTCATAAACTTGAGCTACACCGGCCTCCGTCCCGCCTGGCAGGGATAAACTGACTACTCGATACGGTTCTCCATGTTGGAACACAATTATCAAGGTGGGTCATCATGGCTACGAGCTGGTAAGTTGTGTTAGCTTGTGGTAATAATTGGCTGGTGTGTGTGTATGTTAAGGAGCCTTCAACACACTGCTCAAACACAAGGTCTTCAATATACCGCTGAAATACTGTTGTTGTAGGTAGCTTTCAAAATATTTCTGAAATTCGGTTTTAATGAGTCTTCAATACACTTCTAAAAAAAGTTCTTTAGTAATTTAAGGAACCTTTAGGGTGCCTTAACTCACCCTGGTGACCCACAGTAGCTGTTTGACATGATTAGTTTAACTCTCTACTGTAGTTAGTCATTCAATTACTGTACACTATGTTGTGTGTATGAGTGGTGTGTGTCTGTGTATGATTGTATGAGTGGTATGTGTGTGTGTGTGTGTGTGTGTGTGTGTGTGTGTGTGTGTGTGTGTGTGTGTGTGTATGAGTGTTTGTGTGTGTGTGTGTGTGTGTGTGTGTGTGTGTATGAGTGTTTGTGTACGTATGTGTATGAGTGTTTGTGTGTGTGAGTGTTTGTGTGTGTGTGTGTTTGTGTGTGTGTGTGTGTGTGTGTGTGTGTGAGTGTTTGTGTGTGTATGAGTGTTTGTGTGTGTGTATAGAGTGGAGTGTGTGTGTGTGTGTGTGTGTGTGTGTGTGTGTGTGTGTGTGTGAGTGTTTGTGTGTATGTATGAGTGTTTGTGTGTGTGTATGAGTGGTGTGTGTGTGTGTGTGTGTGTGTGTGTGTGTGTGTGTGTGTGTGTGTGTGTGTGTGTGTGTGTGTGTGTGTGTGTGTATGTGTGTGTGTGTGTGTGCGTGTGTATGTGTGTGTGTGTGTGTGTGTGTGTGACTCACATGCACCTCACAGTGTAGTAATCATATTAACAGTGTAGATACATACTTGTGGTGTATCACAAGGACACCTCATAACGCTCTCCTTCATTACACGTATTATTCTACGTCTCTGTTAATGTACCTTACTAATATATTCATCTCTTGTGTTGCTATCTGGCCACGAGAGATTGGAGGTTATTTCTTGGAAGTAAAGACCAGTGAACATTAAGGCGTGATGACTAAATACTCGCCTGGTGATGAGTATTTGGGGTTTATATGTCTTGTGTGTATTAGGGGCAAGTCTGTAATAATTTGGGTATAGTTCAGTTATATCGATTTTTAGTCCCTTATGACGAAAAAAAATAAAGCGCATTATATATTAATTTTACGAGTATCTTATGTTTTAAAGATACATAAATAAGGCTTTACATTTTAGTAAGAAGACTTATATATAAGCAAGACTTTTTATTATAATACTTTATTTAAGTATCTTCTTTAACCCACAGCACGACGGACATAGCGGGGGCGGCGGCCATCGGGCTGGGCATGGCGGTAAGGGAATGTAGGCGACAGTTTGCCAACCACCGCTGGAACTGTACCGCCCTCCTCACTCCCACCAACAACCCCCACACAGCCGCCATCATGGGTAGAGGTACGTGTGTTTTAACATTTATTACTTTAAAATCCGATAAGAAAAAGGTGAGTCATATACCTGATCGAAATTGCGTTATGCTGAACTAATCTACACCTTGGCAGCACCGTGAGGGAAAAGCTCTCTCAGTGGAGGAGTCAGTTGTTGTTGTTATGATGTTATTACTGCGCAACGACGGTCTTCAACTTCGTATCAGCTAATTGTTTATTGTGTATACATTATTCCCGAAATCCTTATTACTAGATGAATTCCACCTTTTTATGTTGACAGGTTGGTTATCAGCGTGTGTGTGTGTGTGTGTTAGTGCTCTTACTGTCAAACGCTTTCACTTACTCCCTCCAAACTCTGAGATTTCGTTTCCAGGAGCCATGGCTGTTGACCTGTTGATTTTGATTGAGATTAGTCAAAGGCGGAGGTCACGCTGTCACAGGCTTTACCATGTTAACTCGATGCTGGCCTTCAGTAGAGGACCTCTGGTGATTTGGGTCACATGCCGTCCTAGAACCCACCCCCCTACCCCACCCCTACCCCACATCCCTCACCCCTACCCCTACCCTACACCCCTACCCACCCCCCCGCCCCTCCCTGTCCCCACCGCGTCTCTGTGTCTTTAATATTAGTTTTGCTCACCTACATATATATTTAGTATGTAAATATGTATAGATACTTCTACAAAGATGCATAATACACACATATATACATGTACATATACGCATACCTGCACACATATGCATACATACATACATACGCATACATACATACATAAACACAGACACCTACTGTACTTACAATAGTTACCACCAATAGTAAGACCTTTCGCCGTCGGAGGCACTAAAAGGTCGTCAAGTGAAGCAACTGTATAATTTAACCGAAGGTAGGTAGCACAGTAGCACACCACACCTTGTACTATAGCGGCCCCTTACAGCGGCTCGACCTGTCTCTCTCTCTCTCTGTTACCCGAATATAAACCAATTCCGGAAGTTAATTTCGAATCTCATTAAGAATTTTGGTGTAAATTTAATGCCATATTAGATCTTTTAATTTTGTGTTTTATTTCTGGTTATTGAAAATGTTCTCATATATTTACTTACGAGGAAAATTTAACTTAGGGATGTTTTTAAGTATCATAGCCCATGGACCTTCCTAAGCAGGTGGTTGGTTTAGTTAGTGTTAAGTTGATTTACGTAGTTAGTTAAGTTATTGTTTATATGTTATTTTCTCTTAACTGTAACATTTTGACTTAATGGTTCCCACTATGGCGTCATGCTCCCTACTTTTTCTCATTAGGAAGTGTTTAGTCACCAGTGTTCCGCAAAATTGTGTTTTAATGTTTCTCAGTGTGACTTGAGGAGGTGTTGTGTTATACTTATGGTTCTCATCTTGTGTTTCTCAGTTTAGTGTCGAGTTCTTCTTCAGTTTTCCATAGTCTAGGTTTCATACATAAAAGGACTCGATTTTTTTTTAAAGCCGCTTGTGTTACAGGATAAATAATACAACAATTTTACTTTCTGTAGGACTGTATTTTTCCTTACATTTTCACCATCTGCTAAAACTCCTTACGGTAAAAATGATTGATTGATTGTGGTAATTTCATCCTTAGCGACGTGAGTAATGAGCTAATTTGAGACTTTTAAGATATAGGTAAGAATTATCCTATATATATACCGTAATAATTGGTTTTCTAATAATGACAAGTTTGTACCAAATCAACTTAGAAACTGGAGTTTTTTGAGTTTAGCTTCGAACGCCTGCAAGCTTCTCGTGACGCTGAAGAGACTTAACACTCCGAGACGATCTGGCTGAGAGGATTCGTTTGTCCGTTTGTTCATAGCGGTGTAGACTGTACGTGGGTCAATACTTCTCGGTGTAGACTGTACGTGGGTCAATACTTCTCGGTGTAGACTGTACGTGGGTCAATACTTCTCGGTGTAGACTGTACGTGGGTTAATACTTCTCTGTGTAGACTGTACGTGGGTCAATACTTCTCTGTGTAGACTGTACGTGGGTCAATACTTCTCGGTGTAGACTGTACGTGGGTCAATACTTCTCGGTGTAGACTGTACGCGGGTCAATACTTCTCGGTGTAGACTGTACGCGGGTCAATACTTCTCGATGTAGACTGTACGTGGGTCAATACTTCTCGGTGTAGACTGTATGTGGGTCAATACTTCTCGGTGCAGACTGTACGTGGGTCAATACTTCTCGGTGCAGACTGTACAGACTGTACGTGGGTCAATACTTCTCGGTGCAGACTGTACGTGGGTGGAGAGAGGAGGGTGAACGGTGTGACTGTCTGGTCGAACCCGCTAATTATACCATTGTCCAGGCGAGGCATCGACCATGGTAGTGTTGACAGAGTGTGGCCCACCCCCAGCCTGCCCACTCCTTCCTGCCCATCCGTCACTGCCCACCCCTCAATACCCACCCCTTAATGCCTACTCCTTACTCCCCATCCTTCACTATCCACTTCTCACAACATACCCCTCTCTAACCCACCCCTCACTAACCCACCTCTCACTAACCCACCCCTCACTAACCCACCCTCACTAACCCCACCCCTCACTAACCCACCCATCCTAACCCACCCCTCACTAACCCACCATCACTAACCCACCCTCACTAACCCACCCTCACTAACCACCCCTCATAACCCACCCTCACTAACCCACCCCTCACTAACCCACCCCTCACTACTTCCCCCTCACCTAACCCCTCTTCCTTCCACCCCTCACTAACCCACCCCTCACTAACCCACCCCTCATTAACCCACCTCACAAAGAATCGGAGATCAAACATTTCCACAATAACTCTGATGAAGAGCTCTGGCATAAGAGTTAACATGAGGTTTGGTCAAGACAATCAAGACGGAAGAATGAGCCAACAATTAGGAAGGAATTTTAAGGCTTATTTTTTTATACACTGAAATATTGTCGTGTAAAAGCACAAACAAAGACAAAATAAAGAACATAGACTACCCACACTGTCTAAAGTCAATCTCTCATAGACTAGAAAGGTTTTTAATATAGTCGGTTTATACACACTGATACAGATATATATACAGGTTACACTGAAGAAATCTTTTTAATGTAGCCCGTAAAAGACACACCCAAAACAGTAACTAAGAATAAAAGGCGCAGAAGAATGTGTAAATTAATCCAGCAAGTAATCCCTATACCTTATGATTTCGTGGGTCTGGTCCGTGAAGAGAGATGGGCGATATATCTCCTCTCTCAATCGGTGAGGTAATCTTAATAGCTCACCAAATCTGATATAATGACCCGGCTTCGTGAGATACCAGGTAAGATGTGTTCCTCAGGTAATCATTATATCTCGCTTGTGTTTACCTTCACATCACCTGAGACTGGACGTTGGTTTCTTTATTTATAGATTCGTTGTTTTTTGTTTTAGCCGGTTGATATTATTTACTGTTAATCATCACGTCAAATTATTATTTTTTACCTTGTCAACTGATATTTTTCCTTAATTTACAATGGGTGAAACAGATAGTGTGAAATAGATATTATAAGTCAACGTAAAACAGATAAGCCAAGTCCTTGTTCATAAGAGGAAAGTGTTACTAGTTAGATGGAATGTAAGAAACACTCATTGAATAATAAGACGAAATTATCCCACACATCATTCATCATACGTGAGCTGTGTGGGGCGTGAACCTGTAGGCGGAGGGTCGCTAAGGAGGGGAGGGTCAGAGATAATATGTATTTTGCTGTGATGGGCTAAGGACCTCTCCCCTACCTTACCCCACCCTGCCCTGCCTTCCATCTTACCCTCCCCCTACCCTCCATCTTAACCTCTCCTCCACCCACTCCCAGCGTCCATCCTACCCTGATATTATCTTCCAAATTGACACGTTAAGTCTTGAAGGCGCCGTAATATCATTTGATTGATTAAATGTTAATTATTCCTCGTCAGAATGAGAATCAACACCACTTTTCCCTGTGAGTAATTGTGTATGCAAACAAATGCATACCCTATAAATGGCATGTGTTACTGGCTCTGAAAGAACTGTGTGGTCTAAGTGGGTGAAGTTAACCTCGGTTTTATGGTCGATTAATTGTGAAAATAAGTGAAGACGTAGGGCAGGTGAGGTGAAAGACGGGTATGAGTTCTGGGAACCTCTGCAGCGGTTTTGACAGGTCCTCAGCTACCAATATTCCCTCACCTGAAAACATATATACTGTAAATAAATTTGTGTATGGTGCGCGACCTATGAAACACACGTAAGTAATATCCTTTAATGGAAAATGAAATAACCGCAGAAGTTATTAAATCGAGGAGAATATCACACCAGCAACAGGCAGGCGTCATCACTCTTATAATCGACTTTGGTAATATGTTCTCCGAAGTTACATTGATAAATTATATAAAAGTGCTGTTTTTAATTACTGAACACTGACGAAAATTTATAACAGAGAGGTAGTGGACGTTACTGTTAATATAAAACCTAGACTTTACTGCTCTCATGCATGGCCTTTATTTTGTAGTCAGTGATTTTGATATTGATAGATGTTCGGAGTGACAAGATAGGATGTTGATTGAACTTTGACCTCTCTCTCTCTCTCTCTCTCTCTCTCTCTCTCTCTCTCTCTCTCTCTCTCTCTCTCTTGTTCGTATATCCAAGTGGGTGTATGGCGCTTGTGTCACTCCTGCAGTGTATCGTCAACATCACACCATTTTATTGATCCCAGCGTATTGCCAGACAAAGCCCGTGCAGCCCAGCCCTATAAGTGGTTTGTTGACATAGAATGCGCGTGTTAACTCCCCAGCCTGCCTTATACGGGGTTGTGTGAATGTCTTCCTCGGGTGCCTCTAAGATACTGCTGTTTGATACCTCTTGGCAGTGAATTTATGAAGAGTTAAGTTGCAGGTGTTCTTGTATTATATGAAGAATATGTTTAGCTGAACGTATGTTGACTAAAGAGTTATATTTGTCTTTTATTAGGTGTAATACGTCACGTTGTAATGAATTTAGATTTTTGAGT